GAACCAAACAAGCTTCCCCTGAGAATGAGCATATTTAAAATACTCACTCTGAACTTTGTTTGTTTTTATTAAAAGTTCAAGTTTGTTGCAAATAATCACACAAGAATGCACTTAAGTTAACTTGCATATGTACCACTTTGAAATATACATGTTCTCCCCTTTTGTCAAAATCAAAAAGGGCATTTTAAAATTTTTTAAACATGTATAACTTCTTGAACCCCTCCCCCTTATAAATAGAATTTTAAAATGATAGGTTGAAGATCAAGGTACATTTACAACAAAACTTCCCCTAAAACAATCCCCCCCCCCCTTAATCAATGCAAGTTTTGAAACCTTATTTTTTCAGGGATTTTTGTTTATTATTTTAAAAGACATGATTAAAAATGAATTTTGAAAAATTGTTTAATCAAACAAACCAAGGCTAAAACAAATTGAAGCACAAATGGGATATGTTTTTAGTTTTAAAAACATTTAAAGAAGAATTTTATCCCAATAAGTAAGAAAAGCTTACATTGGCTTATGCCGTTCTTTCTTCCGCTTGGAATACGTTTCTTTTCTCTTCACATACTTTTTCCATTTGAGGAAGTTGGTATATTCTGTTCTTATAGCCTTCTCTTCATCGTCTCCATCACTTGACTCGTTTGATGATCTTGATTCACTAGTCTTATCACTTGACTCACTCGACTCTTCACTTAACGAATCTTTGGTGGCTTTGAAGGCATTCGTAGGTTTGGGGTTTTCACGCATTTCTTCCTCTTTGATCTTTCTCATCAAAAGCTCATGAAAATACAAGGAATACCAAATGTGGGTGGTTTTGGCTTTCTCACATTTGTCTAATAAATCTACTACTCCCTCCGTCCTATAATGTTCTTCTCGGTTCATTTTACGAAGTTTGACCGACTTTATTTTCAATTCAATTTATTTGATTGTAGGTGTAAAATTAAAAAATAAAATTTATATATTTAAAAACTACATCAAAAGTTCTACAAAACAAGTGGTGACAAGATTATAATATTTTATCAAATACCTAATGAAAATAGGTAAAGAAAGTGATAAAAGTTTGACCGTGTAAAAAGTGAGTGGGAAGAACATTATAGGACAGAGGGAGTATACTATTATATTATTCTTTAGGTAAAGAAAATAGTATTTTCGTATTTAATTTGCAAGTAGTATACATCTTTTCCAACTTACTTAACTTGTTGACAACTTCGTCGAACCTCTTATTCATGTCGTGAGTGGCTTTTAATAGCTCCCACACCTCCTTGACCGCTTTGCATGTACTAACCCTTGCAAATTCACGGGGGCCAAGAACACAATGAAGGGTATTTATCACATGTGTTTTTTGGACAATTTTCTCTTGTCCTCCGATGACAATCCTGCAAAATCACCACTACTCGGTACCAATGGCTCGTGAAGTATTTTCAACCACATATCAAAACCAATGGATTGTATAAAATATTTCATCCGCATTTTCCAATAAGAGTAGTTTTGGCCATTGAAAAATGGAGGGCGGTGAATGTTTTGGGATTCCATTGAGGCCACTTTTCAAAACTTGAATTTTACCAATAGGTGTTGGTAAACGCTGAATCAATAGATATAATGTATAGATAAAAAGCGTAACAGCTATTTTCAAACATCTAGTTTTACTAAACATTTTTAACGATTATCCAACAAACACATCAAGCCGGTCAAACGAATTGAAATAAATAGCCATTCGGAATAACTGACATAAAAAGCCAACAACCAACATCCGATAGCCAACATCCAAACGAGGCCATTCTATTTGAAAATTTGTAGTTATTTCAAAATAAACATTCTATTACTCAAAAATAATATTTAGTTAAGTATTAATGGGGATAGGATTAAACTATTTGTACCCCAAGATTTATACCCCAATTTGTACACCGCAGGTTTGCACCTTCATTTTGTGTCAGTGTAATGCTAGGGTGATAGTTCGCACAAACACAAAATGCGATCAAACACTTTCCTAGTTGAAACCCGTTTGTATGATAACATTACTACTCTTTTTTAAGAGTCTGTTCTTTACGACTGGAAAAAAAGAGCTGGATGTTGGAAGAACCTGGAAAAAACTAGAAGAAACTGGAAGAACTGGAAGAAACTGGAAGGAACTTGAAGAAACTGGAATTAACTGGAAAAACTTCAAAAAATTAGGAAACCTAAAAAAGTTTTAAAAAATTTATTTTAGTGTATTTTTATATTATTCTCATTCTTGTTGGACATGAGTTCAAACCCCTTTAGATATTTTTTGAAATTATTTTTTTCAGGTTTTGATAAATGACAAACGCAATGCAGAACAAAAATTTATTTTTTGGTTCAAGAAAGAAAAGAGGCACATCAAGAATTTCACGACGACAAAGTTTCGGCATTCCAAATCCCTACGCAAGATTACCAAGTAAAAAGAAGTTTTCCGAAGACTTTTATTTATTTTGAGTCTAGGAAATTTTGTAAGGATGACAAAATATCTTTCTACTTAAACAAATTATTTTTTGAGGGTTATACATTAAAATATAAATTTATTTTTGGAGTCAGTTGAAAAATCTTTTAACGATTCAAAAATAAATTTATTGAGTCAGTTACAAAACATGTGTCAAACATTTTCAAAATGATTATTTTTATGTTAGAAAATATTTCTGGAAAGCAAAAATATTTTACTCAAATATTTCTTTGACAGTGTTCGACACAAAATATTTTGGGACTCAAATTTTCTCTCCATAATTCACCAATAGTTCAAAATAATTTTGAATTAAAGTTGATCTTGATTGGGAGTCTTCAAGTACATGTTTCATGTTGGAAACAACGGAAAAATGCCAATTGTACTTCCCGAACTCGCCATTGATTGGAATCTTGCTGTCTTTGAATAATTCGCGCTAATAATCCAATATCACTTTTGTAAAAATCGATTTTCTCTTCATGCGCATATAAGGTTTTTCGCCCAGACTTTTTAATCGATTTTCTCATCTTTTATAAAATCGATTTCTGCTAAAAATCGATTAATCACTTTTTGGATTAATCGATTAACACCTCTTCGCGCAGAAGGAATTTTACTCAGCAGCACCTAATCGATTTTCTCCTTTTGCAAAAATTGATTTTTTGTCGGTTGCATCTCATCTTAAGTCTTATCTTTTTCCCCAACGGACATATTCATTTTACACCTATAAAATCCTTCTTCTACCTTCATTCCAATTAAAATACAAGCACTCCAAGTTCCTCCTTCATCACTTTTGATTCTTGCTCCATTTTTGATAATCAAAATACTATTTTGAGAGCTAGAAATATATATTTTCTTGAGTGCAAAGATATTGTCATTCATATATAGAGCTTACATTTTAAACACTACTTGCTTATTTGTGAGCTTCAATATAATTCTTGTGTTGTAAAACTCATCTTGTTTGAGTTGTTGTTGCTAAGACTTAGCTTGTGAGAACTCAAGTCTTGTTGGTTGTTCTTAAGACTTGTGTGACTCAAGTCTTGTTGTAAGAAGTTGAGGCTTGTGTGACTCAAGCTATCGAGTTGTAATCGGTTTTTCAAGCACCCGTTGAAGTTTGAAGATTAGTAGGACCTTTGAGAGAGTCTCTCGGAGGATTGGACTAGCCACGAGGTGGTGAACCAGTATAAATCACGGTGTTCTTCTTTCTCTTACTCTTTTACTTTATTCCTGCGATTTTTTATTCCGATTATCACACACGCGAAAAATGCTCATTCTAGATAACAATTGTATTCACCCCCTCTAGAGTTGCACGTTTGTCTAACAATTCTAATTCTTGCTGTTATAAATTAGTATTATTATTGTTGTTATCATCATCATCATCATCACGTTATTATCTTAATGAATGCCTATAAGATAAAAAAGTATTGTTATTTTTCATACACAAAGAACTACTTTTACAAAAAAATAGTTATAATACAAAGTTAGCATAAATATCAAAATGTTAAATTTTAAAAAGTAATTGTGGTTACGTTGCACCTCAATTTATTTATGCAATATTTATTATAAATAACATATTTGTAATTATCCTTTATATATTACAAGATTTTGTTTTAAATATGAGACATGTAACATAATGTAATCAAATATATTCTTTCTTTCATGATTGACATTTTAGTTTCATTGTAACTCCTATTTTTGAAATAAAGACATAAAACTTTTTTTCACATTTTTTATGTTTTACTCATATTTTATTCTTTTTCTATAAACTATTTTGACTATCATTTTTTCATTAAAATTAGAAAAATAAGAAAAATTTGAATAATAAAGAGAAAGGTGAGTGGTCTTATATAAAGTTAGATTAATAAAACATTCTATGTAACTATTTTATCCATATTTTTTTAATATAGTATAATATATTGATGTTTTCCTATTTTATCATGTAGATTAATATACAAAAAATGTCTTATTCATATTAAAAAGTTGAAGAAAAAACAATGAGTGTAAAATCGTAAAAATAGTGCAATGAAAAAAATAGTTTTTAAACAATAGTTATGAACATAACAGTTGTATGAATAATAATAATAATAATAATCACATTAAAAATCGTGTTTAGAGTAATTGGTCGAGGAATAAAAAGAGTTTGAAGAAAATGAGAATAATTGGAAAAAAGGGAGAAAGACCAAATTAGGACTAAAACATTGAAAATATACCAAAATAGGACTTCCATGTTTTTATTCCCGAAATAGGACTTACATTACCAAACATGGTCATATACATTACCAAAAAAGTATAGTAATGTTCACATGTACACTGCCACATTACCACAGTGCAAAGTCACATTACCACAGTGCAATGTCCTATTTCGGGGGGAAAAAGAAAGTTCTATTTTGATACTTTTCTTTATGTTTTAGTTCTTTTTAAGGTGATTTCTATGGAAAAAATTGAAAAATACCGAAAGAAATTAAAAGAAATTAGTAGGAATTTGAGGAAACAACCGCATAAAAGTGGAAGAAACTGATCGGTTATCTTTGTCGTACTGTGCGAGTAAACCCTTGCATTTTCTGGGGGGCGCAGGCGGGGCTGTGTGGCCTGGTCAAGGGGAACAATAGCTATAGGTTACTCTTTCGATCAAGTATAAATATGATCTTTTTTGTTCCATTTTGCAATTGCTAATTTATTTCAGATTTAGTCTTCTGAAATTGCTTTTTGGTTCATATTTTGTCGACAGTAGTTGGAGAATGGCGGCATCTGCAATCAAATCTGGCACTTTGGTTACTCTACAAGAGCTGAATCCATCTTCGCCGTTCTTCAAGCAAGGGGCCTCACTCAGAGTAACTGGAAAGTCGGTAATCTGCCTTTCATTTTTCCATTCAATTTTTATTTTCTTCGTCTTTTAGAATTGATGGTTTTTAATATTTAATGCATGGTTAAATAGATCTGTTCCACACGGTTCAACCTGTTTATAGTGTGTATTTGATGCTCTAAAATCATCAATATTTAGCCCGAAACGACCATGAGGGTTGCCATCCATCATACCACATATGGCATCTTTTCAATTATGTTCTTGCATGTTCATCTTTTTTTTTTCCTCTCTGTTTTTCTTCATATCTTCATCTTGATCAATTGGTTGATTTTTTATCCTTCGTGTCAAGATTTCACTTTTGTGCTCAAGTTATAACTTAAAACGACTCACATTCTTTGACACACACAAATGTATGTTCAAATAAGAAGCTGATCATAATGAGACAGCAGAGAACTTATTTTGGTCATTTTTTTTGAAAAAAAAATAGAAGGATGTGATCACTTATATAGGAAAAATGATATAGCATACTAGTAAATACTCCCTTTCCCAAAATAGGAGCCAAGTGTAGCCATTATCCCCGAAATAGGAGTGACATATTGCATTGTGATAATGTGTCACTGTATATTGGCATTCAACTGTGTTTTTTGGCATTATATGTTGGCATTATAAGTCTTATTTTGGGGATAAAGACATGAAGGTCTTGTTTTGGTTCTTTCCATATGTTTTACTCATATTTTAGTGTTTCTCCCATCCATGAACCAATGATTTTAAATTTTAGCTTGGAAAACCGAATCGAACTACTTTTTTACTTTTAGTTTTTTTTTGTTAAAATCTGAAACAAAAAAGTTGAACTTATTCCCTACATCACCCCAAACATTTTTTTAAATCAAATTCGTCTCATGTCTGTATATAGTTTGATTCAAACTTCACAAAATAAGAAACTCCTTTTCGAAGTTGTTCAATTGAGTATGAGAAAGTACAACTTTTCTTGATTGATTATTTTGATATGTGATTGGTCATGTTCTACTCATTTGGGTCTTGACTCAATGGGCTTGAGTTAACAACTCATGAGGACGAAAAACAATTATCACACATCTCTGTTAAACAAGGTATTTTTTAGCCAATAAATAATGTCAAGGACATTTTGATCCAAAAAGCAATGTTAAAGACAATTTTGAGCTAGTCGATAGGAGGGGCATGTTTTAGCTGAAAATTAATGTTAAGGGCATAACCCAATATGTGGAAGAAGAGAAAATTTGCTCCATCTTCGATATGTTAGGGCCATTTATAAACCTTTTCCCTTTTATGTATGTTAATCCAAACTAAATTATTTTCATTTTCCTCTCTAGGCTACAAGATTATGACGTTGAGTCAGCCTCTGCAATAGTTGTTGATGATAATGCATCATTAAAGATAGACACACAACACTTGAATGTCAATATTCGCCCTGGCTCTATCTACCAATTTATTGGAGAACTACATTTTGGATCCGGTAATGAGGTATGGTAATTTGCTCATTACTTGTTTGGAATGTAGAACAGGTGCTTCTTGTTTCTAGCCGCCAGGTTAGCGGGCCGGCAACTTAATTTTTAACCAAATTTGTGGCTTGTTCTCATCTTTTATAAGAAGAATTAAAGCACAATCTTTGTTCTTGAATCTTCGTGGGCTGCAGATTTAAAGCTTCTCATTAGCCCATCTTGGAATTCATTATTTAAGTCAATGGTTGGGTCCTCTTTTATTGTGCTTATCTTATCATGTCATAAATTCATGTTTAGTGATCACGTATTTGAGTTGGTCTCTTGACCCTTGGTGGTTCTATTCGGACCAGGTGCTGTTTAGTAATTGGATTTTTGTCTATTATTTCAGGCAATCTTGAAGGCGCGAGTAGGGAGAAATGTGGATGGCATGGACCTTAGTCTCTATCATCAGTCACTACAACTCTTGAGAAATTTCATAGATGAACAAACTAACGGTAGACAGTAGAACAATGCAACAAGAAAGTGGTATGAGACAAAGAAATTGGTGGCAACTGTCAAGTATGGAGTATAATTTTTCTCTAGTTGTTTCTTAAAATGTGCTTAAAACATTAGTTTTCATCAATTGTTGGTCAATGTGCCCAGAGGCTCATGGATATTGTTAAAAGTATTCAGTGCTGGATGATCTGTCAAAATTGATAAATAGCCTACAAGTGGAGCTACAAAATGACGTTGGGAGTAGAAGTTAGAATTCACATTTGTTTACCTACAAGTAAATATCATAAGGGTCATATTAAATTCAAAGATAACGTCCAAAAAGAGTTGCACTCAAATTAGCTACATAATTGTTTCAAGAAAGTAATCAAAGAATTTTTTGAGTTTGCCTGGCTTTCAAAAAAACGAGTTCTACCGACTTTCAACTACTGTCTGTTGCCATGGTTGATAAAATCTATGTTGCAGGAGTGTATCCAGTGGAAGATACTAGCAAGTCTGACGTTGAAAGAGGCGGCAAAGACTTCAATCTTGTCCAAGGAGTGGCAGTATTAGTGGAGATCAATAGCAAAAATTGTGTAAAGTTGCAAGGATGGGAATTCAAGCCCAAAGGGTTTGGTATGTTTTGTTTAGAGACTGATGCTTCATCAAGAACCCATGATTGAGTCATCCGCACTATATTTCTCTCTTATAAACAGGAGTTGTGTGAGGTTGAAGAAAGTGCCATTCTTGGCGCTCAATCTTGGAGTCAAAGCATTAAATATCACGTTTGAAGAGCGTTTCGTATTTGGAGCAATATGTTATTCTTTGACACCTCTTTGTGGCAATGAAAGCATTGAGTCACTAAGCTTGATGGGAATGCAACTCAATGAATCAAAACTATCTAGTGAATCCTTGATCGCTGTAGTCTATAATCAAGAATTCTAGTTTGGAGACTTTGTGTTTTAAACATTAACCTGTTGAGTTACATCACCGTATGATCAAGAAAGGTAAACATTTCAAAGATATCTATTGAGTAAATGGTAATGATTACAATGAGTAACTCATATGACAAATGTTTGAAAAAGAAGGATCCTCTAAAATAGAATTTTTTATATTAGACTTCAGGGATCCATTGGATAGTTTTGATTAATTGAGTTGCATATGGCGCAGTCCCTTAAAACCCCGTTCGAGATCGATTTTACATTATGTTAAGCTTAGTGACTCTATGCTTTCATAGCCACAAGAAGGTGGCAATGAATAGCATATCCCTCCAAATTGGGAACAATTTTCAAACACAATATTTAATGCTTTCACTTCACAATTGAGCGTGAAGAGTAGAGCCCTCTTTGACTTCGGCCTCATGTTGCTCCAGTTTGTACAAGAGAAATGTAGTGTGAATGACTCAATCACGAGTTCTTGGTGAAGCATCATTGCCTCTAACGAGAACTTACCAAACTCTTTTGGCTTGAATTCCTATTCTTGCAACACAAGTGCCACTTCTTAGACAATATTTAAGTCTTTGCTGCTTCTTTTAACGTCGGACTTCCTATCATCTTGACATCTTCTGGATACACAATGACAATATATAGATTCTATCAACCATGCAATAGAACTCGGTTCTTAAAAGCCGGTTGAACTCGAAGGTTTCTAGGACCACTTTCTTGAACCATGTAGCTATTCTGATTGTGCTCTGTAGTTTTTTTGAACGATATTTTTTTTAATGTAATTTGACCTTTCATTTAGTGGTTCCCTCCTGTAGGAGATGGTCACAGGGTTGATTGACGAACCACACCACCCGGGTTCGATCCTCAGAAGGGGCAACTTTAAAGGAATTTTAAGAAAGTTAAGCGTGTTGGCCATGGAGTAGTGAAAATGATGGGTGACCCCCTGGGAAGTGTGTGTGTGTGTGTGAAAGAAATAAGAATAATTAGGAGACGTTGATCTAAATAATCATGCGGGTCAGATTTAATCAAAGAATTGATATTCATTGTATTTCTAAGATGGAAAGTGTTAACTTTATTGAGAAGTCAGGGCCACAATAAATTCCAAGGGTAATTTTGGGATAAAGAATGCACAGCCAAACATTTTTCATAGGAAAATGTTATTTTTACTCCAAGAATTTGTACCCCATTTTGTACATCGCAGAGATGCACCAACATTTTGTGTTGGTGTAATGCTAATTTTTGTTAATGCACCAATACTCTGTGTCAGCGTAAATTTTTGTTAACGTACTAATATTTTGTGTCAGTGTGAACCATCAAAATGTTGGTGCATACATTTGGTGGACAAATTGGATACAAATTTTGGGGTACATGTAGCATGCTCCTATTTCATATTAGCAGAAGGTTCTTTAGTTGCCCCCATGAATTCGGCATTTAATGCACCACTACAAATATAATGATCTCCACAATTATAGAATGCACTATGTTAACAAATATATGTATTGTGATTTGTCATTTGAATTTATTCTAATTTTATTCCATAAATTTGTGAATTAGTAAATTATTACTCTTTTGTGACTTTAGATGTCATAAAAAAACCTTAAGAATGTATTGTATTAAAGTTAATTTGATTTGATGTTGTGACAGTAAATTTCCTTGATTATGATAATGCACTACCGTGATTACAAAATGCATTACCTTGATGTTAGAATGGGGGACATTGGGAACCAATGTCATGGGATGACCCGGGGGCACTCCGGTGCCCCGTTCGTAAAATTGACGGTTCCTACCTCCCCTAACCCTTCCGGTAAACCCCCCCCCCCCACCCCGCCCTGACCCGAACACACCCCCCACCCCCCTTTAATTGCACCCCACAAGTTGATTTCTCTGCACCCTGTCCCTTTCGCTGCTTCAGATTTGACTACGGAAATCACAGATCTCTTCAGGCGGCTGCGCACAGATCTGCAAAAATTTTCTCACAATTTGTGCTCGTGTTGAACAACCTGGCTCTGATACCACTTTTTGGAAATTAAACACACAACACACACAAATAATCTGCAGAAACGAGAGAAACGGAACACAAACGACACACGAGAATTTAACGTGGTTCGGTTTCTCTAATCCACGGCTGCAACATGAGAAATTTCTTATTTCACTTGTGGTGTCTCCCGAAATTACAAGTACAAGGGCTCAATATATAGGAGAAAAGAAACTAGGGGTTACATAACATGGGCCGGGCCTACAAGTCAAGCCCAAGCCTCCACAAACCCAACACTATAAGGCAGTGTTTGGGAACTAGATTTAATTTGAAATATTAGATTTCAATTCTAAGATTTGAAATTTCATAATTTGAAATTCCAAATGTTGTTTGGGAAGTCATAAAATTTCAATTCTAGAATTTGAATTTTGAAGTCGGCAAAGACGATAATGAAAACAGGTTAATATGTATGCAATTGTTATTATATAAGGGGAGATCAATTTTTTATTACAAGTTTTAAATTAGAGAAAAGTTTAATTTGAATTTGTAAGTGACATGGTAAGGGGTGTGAATTTGTAGTTGAGTTAGCTTTGAATTAGAAGAATTTGGTCCAAATCCAAATAAAAAATAATCTTTGTCTTCCCAAACAAGTAATTTGGATCAAATCTGAATTTGAAATCTAAATTCTTTTTCAAAATCTAACACATAGCATTATCAAACATTCAACATAATCACAGCCTCATTTTATCATACACTAGTTGTACTCCATGTACTCTAGACTAATTATTACTGGCGGTGTAACTTCATTCCTTGCACATTTGCAGTGCCTCAAGATTGGGAAGAAGTAATATGATCATCTGCCTTTTCTTCTTCTTTAGGTTTTTAAATAATATCTATGCTAATATGCTATGTTTTAATGAAATAAAAAATGATATAAAATTCCAAACACACATTCCAAACAAATTGAAAGACATAAAAGAAAACCTTTTCAAAATCTAACACCAAGAATTATCAAACATCCAACATAACCACAACATCATTTATCATACACCGACTTTATGTGTCATAAAAGTCATATTCTCGTAGTTTTGGTAAAAGTGAAGGTTTGTACTGTACAAACCATTAAAGTAATGAAATCTTACATACCCAGTGCCGAGTATATTTTAATTTTTTTGTTGGATTAATTAGATATTGGGACATGTTTATTTTAACTAAATTTATACCAAAAGTCGTTTAACTTTTTAACTTGATATAAGTTATAAGAGGTACTTACAACCAGAGGCGGATCTAGGAATTGGAAAACATAAGGTCCCGTTTCTTAAATTGTAAACATACATTTATACAATGTTATTATTCACACGCTATAAAAAATAAACTATAAAATCTACGATTTAAATGAACATTCAGAATATGATTCTCAATGGATTTCTTAAAGTCATAACTTCTACATCTATAATTTTTAAAGACAAAATTCACTAATTGGGTATAATGATTTTTTTGTCAAAAGCCTCACATTTGGACAAAAGATTTAGACATATCCATAATCCTTCATTATCACACTTTAAAAATGGAAGTAAATTGTAAAAAGAATACAAATAAAATGAAAAGTAGATTTGTTTAGGTATTTTTTAGGAAAAATCTAATTGAATTTTTTTAAATAATTATTTAATATTTCTTTAAATTGAAAGTCTAATGAAGAAATACCTATTAATACAAAAAATACTACCTCAAAAAATACAATAAAATATTTTGCATTAAAAATGTTTTTTTAGAGTACTTGAGGATAAAATTGAGGACATATCCATAATCCTTCTTTATCACACTTTAGAAATGGAAGTAAAATTGAGGAGAATAAAAGTTATAAACATAAAAGAGTCCAAAATCGAACCCTGGATCTCCATTCTTAATGTGTGGCCGCGCTTCCTCTGCACCGTTAGGTGATTTGTTTGCAGCAGGGTTTTGTTTATTTATACACTAAATATATCAGGATACCTAATATATATAAGATCCTACGTGGAGGTCCGTGGGGTCCCGGGACCCCGTGGGACTCAAAGTGGGTCCGCCTCTGCTTACAACATCGGAGAATGCAACTGAAAGAGATGCAAGAGAATAAAAATTGTTGAAATCCCGTGCTTTATCTTCACGCACATTGGTCGAGGTAGTTTTTTTGATGGGATGCCTTTAAGAATCTCTGGTACTTCCACTCCTAAAACAAACCCACACTACCATATCCAAAAAAAAAATCCTAGTACAATGATCCATTAAAAACCCCAAAAAAATCAAACTATTTCACATCTTTGATTACTATTAAAATTAAACTCAATCCTAAATATAAAAAAACAAAGAGTAAATTCCATAATTGGTCCTTTATAACAGGGCGGTTTCCCTATTTAGTCCTCTATTATCAAATATTATCCCAATGATCCTTCTTTTATGTGTATCTTTCCACAAATAGTCCTTTTTTTGATCTTCTATCATGTTGGTATTAATTTGAGGGCTAAAAATGTAATTTCACAATGATAATATGTCTTTTTTGTCATACACAATTCCAAAGGCTGTTCCGTTTGCATCATTTGTGAATTATAGTCATTTTTTACTACAACCATAGTCTACAAATGTGGTCTTTCGTCAAAATTCTAGCCCACAATCATAGTCATTATTTTTGTGTTATCCGCTTAACAAATATCAGAAGACGTCACTAAACATAATGTTGATGTCAAATTATACTTTTAGCCTTTAAATTAACACCAACACGGCAAAAGATCAAAAAATGGATCATTTGTGGAAAGGTACCCTTAAAAAAGGATTATGGGAGTAATATTTGATATTAGAGGACTAAATATGGAAACCCCCCTGTTAAAATGGACCAATTACTCAAAAACAAAACTTCCAAAAAGTGAAGATATACACAAACTCAAATATATACACTACCTTACCCAAAAAAGTATCATAGTACAATGGTATATAAGAAAAATCAAACTTTCTGCCAAATGCCATCAAAGAATATAATGGAAGGAAATCATAACAAATATAATACAACACAATGACTCTACCCTATTACCCCAATGCATAACGAAAAAAATGAATATATACACTGCCTTATTATCACAATTCCCAAAACAAAAGAACCTATACACAATCTTAAACATAGACACTGCCTTTTAATCACAATTCCAAAAAAGGAAGCAGAACATTGCCTTTTATGCACACTGCTTTTCAATCACAATTCACATGCTTAAGCACTTTCGAAGATGTCACTACTTTTTTATGAATATGGTAGTTAATGCTACGTTAATTTGCTTCCAAAAGGTAACATGTCAAATTATTTTTTTAATAAAAAGTTTATCCATACTTTATTTAAAAAGACATGGAGTCAACATATGATTTTCCCGCCCAAAGAGTATGACAATTACAAATCGCAATTATGAAGTTAAAATGGTAAGTGACCAGAATTATAGTAATAATTATTATAATTATAATAATTAAAGAAAGTCAAGTTAAAATGGCGGAAAGATAAGTTAATTATTGTGAAGTTAAAATTAATATTACTTTTTACACACAATGCCTTTAAAAACATGATATTATTAATCTAAAAAATTATTATTATTATTAATCTAAAAAATGGTTTAAAAGCTATAATCAATACATGTCCTTTTTTATCACACAGTATTAACCAATTTCTTTTTTAAAATGAATAATTTTAACACGTAATCATTTTGAAAAAGGAACAACGATAATATGACAATTTATAATTGTTAATTAATATTAACTGAACGAATTTTTTCTAATCAAGGTAGTTCTAAATCCTCAATAATAATGATGCCACGGAATATTATACAAAAGGAAATATAATTTTTAAAAAAAGGAATATTACTTTTAAAACACAATGCTTTTAAATTTATTTTTATAAAGGGAATTTTTAAAAAAAGGAATATTGCTTTCAAAACACAATGCTTTCAATTCGTATGGAGTGTACTAATTATTTTGGGTATAAATAAGTACTATGAGTACTCATTGGAAACCTCCAAAATTTTTGCAAGAATAAGTAAGTGCCATTTTTAACCTTTTTTTGTGCAAGCGTGGAGTTAATATAGCTATTATTTTTATAGTAATTAACGTGAGTAATATAAAATGGTAAGCGTGAGTAGTATAAAATGGTAAACGTGAGTTTACCTTTTTTAATAATTAACGTATTAAAAAAGGTAAGTTATACAATTCCAAAGCGTAAGTTTTTTATAAAGGTAAGTTATACAATTGCAAAGCGTAAGCTTTTGTCAAGAGAAAATAATTAAAAAAGGTAAGTTATACAATTATAAACCCAATTTCGTAAAAAAATAATTATGGTAAGAATAATTATACACCCAATTTTGAAAAACTTTAACCCTTCTTATTATAATAGCCTATAGCCTATTACAATTTTATATACTATAAATACGGTAATTTTCCAGGCCAAGGTAGTAAGATTAATCAACGTGTGTTTTAATTCGGTGCTTCAACATCGCTTTTTGTATGAACACATGAGGATCATAACCGCTTTAAAAAATTTTGATGAGAGGTCAGGACTATTGATGATGAAACTAAGAGCGGTAAGAGTTTATCACGTTCCTGCTCATTCTCGGGGACGAAATCATTGGATGTTATTTTTCACGACTCAGATGTTAGTTCTACATTATTTTATATTTTACATATAAATCTTTTAAAAAAATGAATATAATTATATGTAAACATTTTATATGTAAACGTTCCGATATGCAATGAAGACAATATTCCCACAAATTGTACAAATAATGTAGTCTATAAAGAGGTCTTTCGAAATTTGTAAAGCAGTGATGATTTTTACCTTAAAATAATATAATCTCTATATTCTATTGCATCTCATTTTTATCAATGAAAAATGATTTGAATTTAATAACATAAAAATGACCCGTGCAACGCCCGGGTGTGATACTAGTATTTATTAAGTGGCTGTGATTATTCCGAAACTTGTGGATTATGAAAAATTAAAAATTAGGAAACACGAAAATAGAATAAGAAACAAAATTTTTCATACTATAAATATGGTCATTCAAAATCACTTTTGTAATTATTAGCCTCTTTGAAGTGCATTTTCAACTATTAATGAGAAGTCATTAGTTTTGATGATAAAACTGAGAGCAATAAGAGTTTATCATGTTCCCGTTCATTCTAAGGGACCCGAATCATTGGATATAATTTTTTATGATTCAGAAGTTAGTTCTTTCATTAAAATTAATCTAAAATACGTATACATTAACAATATAATGTTGTAATGATGGTTACATATACTTTTTTGGTTTGCATTATTAGGGAGATCGAATACATGCGCAAATCACATATTCAAATATACGCAATTTCAAGGAAGATTTGAAAGAAGATACTTATTTACTGATGAGAGTCAAAGTATTACGCAATTACCAAACAATGAAAACTACCAATTACCTTTTCATGCTACAATTCTTTAGCAAGACGAAGCTTCAAAAGATTTCAGAAAATAGATTTCCCAATTTTCGTTACAACTTTATGGGATTTAAAGAAATTCAGAAAATGACTTTTGGTGACAGAGTGCTTTTAATTGGTAATAATCATCATTTAGATTATTATAATTAAATATCTTACACTTATTTATAATGTATATTTAATACATCTGTCTTATATTTTGGTACTTGCAGAAGTAAATGGAAAGGTTGTTAGTCGAAGTCCACCCGAAACTCGTATGGTAAAACAAGCACCAGAGCAAAAATTGGAGGACCACAAGTATGTGAGAAATTATATTCTAATATTCATGACTTTTTTTCTAAGAATAAATTATATATAAATTTTATTGGATATAATCATAAAGTATCATTCCGATGTATAAATAATCTTACTTCGTGAATCACTAATGTTTTATTTTTAAATTTTAATGTGTAGGGGAATTCGGTTAAATTGTACATTGTGGGTAGGGGTGGACACGGTACGGTTCCGGGACGGTTCCGGTTCCGGAACCGCCGGTTCCCGTACCGCCACCCCATGGTACCGGTACCGTGACCGGACCGGACGGTACCGGTTCCGGTACCCGAACCAGCGGTTCCGGTACTGGACCGGCCGGTTTCGGCCACCCCAATTATTATTTTTTTGTTTTTTTTTAAATTTTTAAAGTGTAAAATTGTAAATGTGCAATTGTTAAAGGAAAGAATGAAATAAAAAAATCTAAAAATGTAGTTGTTATTTAAATATTATAAAATGAGTAATACAAGAACTGAAGAACAACTACAATTAATATCCTGACAGTTCAAAAAAAAGCAACGAGGTAAAGAACCGTAAAGAAACCCTTGAATGAGCTTATATATCGCTCACCTAAAAAAACTAATTACATAACTACATTAACATAAAAAAAGTTTATAACTTATTCCTCAGAACTCAGGCTTCCATCCGTGGTTGCATTCATGTAATGATCGGAATTGAAATCGTATCCTGACTCTTGACCACGACGTCTTGCCAAGAGCCAATCTCGGTTGCAAACAAGTGTTTCAAGAGATTCAGCGCTAAGACAACTTCGGGAGTTGGTTAGAATGTTGCCGCCAGCACTAAATTCTTGTTCCACTGCTACGGTTGATACCGGGACGGATAAAATTTGTCTTGCTAGCATTCCGAGACATGGGAACATGTGTTCGTTCCGCTTCCAGCATCCGAGGACGTCAAACTCCACGTCGTCGTCGTAATCGCATGGCACCCCTTGGTACATAGCAAGTTCGTTGTGCGAGCTTACAGTTGTACCACCTGAACTCGTCGAAGGCTTAGCACGCTTCCCTTTCTTTGCAAGAAGCCCACCGACTATTCCTTTAAAACCTTTTTTTGATTTGGGGGGCGGAGGAGGTGCTGTTTCTTCCGATACATTACCGTATATCCCTTGAAATTCCATAAATAAAGCCTCAAAAAGAGTAATAGCATCATCTCTTTCTTTTTCGCATTCAATTAAATGGGTGTAGTAATAACTATTTTCATCTAAATACAATTGTAGTAATAGTCAATTAGAATTTTATAATTTTCAATCTTAAAGCGTGGATCACAAATAATGCCTATTTTATAAATATCAGGAATGTACAAATAATAAGCACACCATTTATCTTTCATAGGAGAGACATAAGGGTACAAATCTGGATCAGCCAAACTTTCACGAAAATATGTTGCGATTGTAACGCACTCTTTAAAAAATCTATTTGTAGTTGGTTAATTGGTAAACATGCGAAAAAGTAAGAGTTGCGTTATTAAAAAATTCTAATACGGCATTCAATTTTTCAACAATAATAAATTCATTAGGTGAAATCATTAAAAGAAGTTCATCTCTAAAAATTCAGCAAGTTCCTTTTTGTAGCTTAGAATCTGTGCTATCAACTTGTATGTATTATTCCATCTAATGGTGATATCTTTGGCAAATGTTATTGCTCTTCTGCCCTTAGACTTACAGAATGTCTTCCAGGAATTCGAATGAAGACGACTATCCCAAATCCTTCTAATTCCATTTTTAATATTCGTCAGAACCCCCCCCCCCCAATAGCTTATAATCCCTGTTGAACACATAAATTTAAAACATGACAAGCACACCTTTGATGCAGAAATATACCCATACTCGTAGTAGGGGGCAAATTTCTTTAAGTCTAGGAATAGCAGCAGTATTATTAGTAGCATTATCAAAACCAAATGCAAACACTTTATCAACTAAGTTGTATTCCCTCAGAATACGCTGAAGCAATAGAAAAATATTTTCAGCAGTATGAGAATCATTGAAATCACGAAATGCAAGAACACGTTTATGCATTATCCAATCACTTTCTATTCAATTACAAGTAACACCCATATAAGACAAATTATGATATTTTTCACCCCAAATATCAGAACAAGTAGTAACACGAGAATTAAAATTGAGAAAAAAATTTGCCAAATTGATTTTTTCAACTTTATACTGTCGAATAATTTCTCGCTTAATTGTTTTTCTTGAAAAACCTCTTGCTTGAGGGTTTAATGCCTGTTGACAAAAATAAAAAATCCAAGTTTTTTAAAAAACATGTATGGCAAATTTCTTCACAAATCATTTCGGCCATTTTTTGCTTATTTTGCTCGTCGCTATAAGCAAAAAGGCCGCCCTTACCCCTGTTAGCAAACCGAGAAATTTGGGTTTGCACTTCTTGTCGTGCCTTCTTTTTCGCCGCGTATTTGGCGTACTCCACGGGATGCCTTGACCTTAGGTGTTTTTTCGGACCACCATAACCGCCGGAAACCCCCATTTTAATGACGGTGGCACAATAATTACAAGTTCCAAAAACTATGCCATCTTTTTTTCTTTTGAAAAATGATAAACAAATAAATTTGATTTTAATTTTTTTTACCTTTGTCCGGACCTTGAGAGGTCTCAGGCTCACCTGCCTCCTCGTCGACGTCCGTAGGATTATTGCTGTGCGCTATAGGCTCCACGTCCATTCCTACTTCATCAATGTCCTCGAATAAACATTCAAGAGTTTCGAGATTGGCATCGCCTCTACCTGACACATAATGGTCGAATTCTTGATCCATCAAAGCGTCGCCCACGAATTGATCGGGGATACTAGGGAAGGAACTCAAGGAAGAGACGTAGTGTCTTCCTTGAGAACCACGTCTGCGTGAGGTCGAACCGTCGGAGGTGGCCTTAGCGTTGCCTCTCCTTGAACTTCGGTTCACGGTGCCCATTCCCACCGACCTTCTACCGGACTCTCTCGACATTATAATATATATTGTTTTTGATAAAAAAGAACTATATTAAAATATTTATAATATTAATTATATATTGAATTTCGAAATTATAATATTAGTAAATAATAATATATGATAATTGATAATATGTATAATCAATGTATTTATATATTATTATATAATATATTAATATATATTTATATTATTATATGAATATAAATTGTATAAAAATTGAAAAGAGATAATAAGAATTAATAGATAACTAGAGATGTAATATAGAATGGATTGAGAAATGAGAGATTGAGATTTTAATTGAGATTTTAATTGAGAGAGTTGAGTGAGTGTGAATTTCTTTAAAAAAAAATGGGTTTATTTATAGTGTTTCCTAC